TAGTTTTTTTAACTAGAGTTGCCTATAGACCTGCGAGGCATGCTGGGACAGTCCTTCAGGAAGTGGTCCCCCTCGCATCTCAGGCAGACCCCCTTGTCCTTTCTCTTCCTCCATACCCCCTCCTGGATCCTAAGTGCATGCCAGGGGAAGGTGGAAGGAGCAAGGGGATCAGCTGGCCAGTGGACGTCACGTGGTAAAGGCACTCTCTGGGCACCAGGGGAAGAGGCACGTCCCTTTCCTTTCCCCTGACTACTGGTTGATGCTTTCTGGGCTAGGGCCTTGCCCTTTGTCAAGCCTATCAAAGCATCGGCCAGAGCAAGAACAACAGAGTCTGCAGCAGATGATGAGGCAGTCCCAGGTGGAGGGCTCCCACCCTGGGATGCTGCGTCACTATCTGAACCAGAAGCTGCAGCAGCAAACAGGGCACCCTTCCTCCTCCTTCGCCCTTTGGAGGAGGGTCCCTTCCTTCCTTCAAAAGGTGCTTCCTGGACATGGAGTTTGAACTCCAAGTCCAGGGCTGCTCTGCCAAAGGACCGCCAGTCCTTGTGGCCCTGCGAGAATAGAGCAAGTTGGAACTGCTCAAGCGCTGCTCTAAGGAAATGAATGAGCAGATCCTGCTCACTCATCTCCAACCTAGGAGTCGATGTAAGACTCTCAAAGGTGGAATACAGTTTGGACAAGGAGCCATCAAACTCGGCCCAGGCGCAAAATTTTGTTTGCTGCCTTCCTGGCATGCTCCTTGTCTGCAAACCGGTCCTGCAGTGCCTGTAGAAATCCGGCCACCCCCAACTTCTGTGTCCAATCAGACATCGCCATACCTTGCTTGCTGGAGGTGGAGGTGCACCATTTCAGTGCTGATCACTCAAAGCGAGCAAGGATGGTAGACACCTTGACATCCTCATCACATTTGAACCCACTCAGGTAGGTTCTCTATGCAGCGACCCAATCTGCCACATCCACTTTCGGGTCCTCACCTGAGAACATAGGTGGCGGTGTCAGCTTAAGCCGCTAAAACTCAAATGGTGTTGAGGGCTGTGAAGCTGCTATTGATATGGGTGTAGAGGGTGAAGATGTATGTCTAGATTGTGGGGTTGATGTGGGTTTTCCTTGAGAGGGTCCAAGAGAGGGAGGAACAGGGGAAGTGGTAGGGATCTTGAGGTGAGCGAAGATCAGATCCAGTTTGGCAGAAATGTCATCCAGCTTCTTGGAAAAAGCTGAGTGGCTATTCTCCAGACTGGTAATCCTGTCATCCCAGTTAGTAAAATAAGAACGGTGAATTTCATCTTGCAAAAGGATGAATTCAGCCATGTCCTTGTTGTACTGACTCGAACTACCACTTGTCCTGACCTTCTCCACATCTGCAATTAGAAGTTTTCTCCTAGCCTCCTGTCCTGACCTTCTCCACATCTGCAATCAGAAGTTTTCTCCTAGCCTCCTTCTGAGCTGCTTCTTCCTTTTTCTTCAGCTCGGCCTTCAGAGACTCAACTGCCTGGGCCTGTTGGCGGAGTTTCTCCTCATGGGCCCGTAGTTTAGCCTCTAAAGGGTCAAGCAGGACAAGTGTCTCAGGCTGTACTGTGATCTTCAGCTGTACCTGAGGCTTCTCATCAAAAGTCTCAGCCTTCTGAGACACAGTCTTCCCCGAATCAACCATTTTATTTCCCCGCAATACAAATAAATAAACACACAATAAACAATAAACAAAGACAAAGCAGGAGGTAACAGGAATTGAGGTTTCCCTCCAGTACTCACTCAATTGCTCTCAGCTGCCTGGAGAGAGAAGATTGGTGAATTCTAAGCAAGTGAGTGCTCTGTCTCAGCAGACCGCTTGAGGGTCAGGGTCAGTTTAGAGTCCACTCAGGCAAAAATCCATTTCACGATTTTTCCATCCCTGCCCTGACACAACAATTGCATGCAATACTTGCAAATCCTGGATCAACAACTGACAAGATGCAGTCTTGGACCAATTAGTGTTGATTAGTAATTAGACAGAGTGACTAATTAGGGTTAGACAGGTGTCCACTGATGACCAAGATATAGCGATTTACAGGTTACCCTATTTTTAGACCTATCCTACAGACCTCACCACTGGATGACCCTGTATGCCATACCCTGGGTATGGTGAATTACAGTTTTCACTGTAACTAACTCAGAACATCAAATATGGATGGGCGATTTTAGACACTGACTGAATACTGAATTGCGATTTACCAGGGACTGGCAGAATTGAATTCTGACGGACAAAATCAAAGTTATGACTGACCCTAGTCCAGTCTAGCCTGAGCTATGTCCGCACAGAATTCAAATTTGCATTATCACTGAAGACATGACCCTGAATTCACCAATTCACTACACAGTGTCAATCGCAATACTGTAAAGCAGTCACAGATGAAATATGAGTAAGAAAGAAGGTCAAACAGGGTTAGTAGAAGTCAAAGAAGATAGGTAGGGGAAGTTGGATATGGCTGTCCCACAGTCTGAATTTCGATTTTCAACTGTCACCTCACAGACAGACCAAATTTCCCTAATCTAAACATTGCCCCAGAATCGCCACACAGGATGGAGTAAGGAATACACTTACTTCAGGGTCAACTTTGAAGAAGATGCATGAAACTTTGACTATGGCTGACTGGTCAACCCCATCTCGCCAGTTTCATCTCCTGACAGTATCCGGTGTTCCCACGTACCAAATTCCCTCAAACTTGGTGATCCAGTAGATTACCCTGAGGCGCTTCACCCCAACTGACAGATTCAGAGAAATCGAACTCCCAGGTGCCAATAACTGACAAAGTCGGTGCAGCGCCACATCACCCTGTACTGCGCTGCTTGGAAATTGGGGATCCCGACCCAATGCCATAATCGCAATCTCCTGGGATCACTTCTTTGCCAATCGCCAGCCTCCAGATGAATCGCCAGGCTAAATTTTAGCCCCTTCAGAGCCTCTCAGGCCTCTGTGTGTCAATCGCCAACAACTCCTGCACAACCCTAGCCAGGAGTGAGTCACTCTCTGCCCAATTCTTCTCGCCACACACTCACAGCCACCACCCTTACTGTCAACGACCCTGAAGATGATGAATCGCCATGAGACTCAACTCCAATATCTCGCCAGATGATGATGGGTGCTCCAACTCATCAACCGCTCCAGAGTCTGGATCCAATTGCTCTGATACCAACTGTTACGATTCTGGTTGTTTGTTGCCTGAAGGCCAACACTCACTCACAAAGACTTCCAAGTATGCCCATACATACACAGAAGGAAGGGGAGAGGATAGGAGTATCACACCGCACAGGGAGAGATAACACAGCGGAAGACTTGACAATGCGATATGACAGGGTACACTGAAAGTGCAATTCACTCCACTCAATCCTCACAACCAGTCATAGAGAAAAGCCGAGCAGATCACATCCAGGAAAACAATGAAACGATGATAGTCCAAACCCAGTTATACATTGTTTATTAAACTCAGAGTCTCGAATTGTCAGGATAACTTCAGAACTACAGTGTGCTGCTCAGAAATGAGCAGCGCTTCACTCCCCAACCCTGAATAACACCTGTAACACCCCTGAGGCCCGGAAACATCAAGCGCCACCCAAATACAGCCTCCTGAGGGAAGCGCCACCCTGAAACAGGCCTCTAAGGCCAAGCGCCACTCAGAGGATGAAGAAGAAGACCAGCGCCACAGTATCTGATGATGACGAAGTGTCGGAAGACTTCCCGGGTGAAAGTCTGCAGCAGCGCCACCAAACCCTGACAAGATGACCTCTGAGGAAGAAGCTGTAGCTATGGCTGCAGCGCAAACACCCTGGAACCCCACTCCGGAGGAGGGTCCAGCAGGGCACCAATCTCTCTCGCCTCCAGCAGMCCTCGATAACCCAGACCTCTGTCAGCCCCTGCGTACTGGCAGAGTACAGCGCAGGTCCCAGCTATGGCCGGCTCTCCGAAGGTCTGGCTATGCCTGTCTCTCTCCACGCTGAGTCGTCACCACTTCCGGTTCACGCGTAGCACAGCAGCGATGTACTCGGTACCAACTGCCAAAAGCCCTGAACCGATGCGCCCATCCTATCTATACTACACTAGCCTAGACTCGACCTAGACCGGACTGACTGACCGACCGGTACTGTTTCTGTTTCGGCCTCCCGGCCTCTACCGGACCCGGCTATAGGCTATAGGACCGTCTATCAGAATAGGCCCTTAGGGCCTGTCTGTCCCAGGGGTAGCCCGGGCCTGCTATTCACAGTTAGGGTAGCTGTAGGGAACTCGGTTAGTACCGGGCCTGCATATTTTCCCGAATTTGCAGATATGTCCCTCACGAATTTCCCTCACAGGTAGGTCTCTCGGTTAGCCCTCAGCCACACAAAATTGCGAATCTGTGCTACCTATAGTACAGCCTCGACAGAGAGAGGCGACAGGCGACCAGAAAACAGCAAGTCATTGCATTGCAGTCTATTCTTTCATGCAATCTTGATTGTGAGTCTTGGTGTATCTCGTCTACTGTGTGAGTTTGAGGTCTGTGCTCTGTGCGGTTACCTCGATGTTTGATAGCCTTTCTTCTCCACTACCATCTCTCTCTCTCTCTCTCTCTCTCTCTCTCTCTCTCTCTCTCTCTCTCTCTCTCTCTCTCTCTCTCTCTCTCTCTCTCTCTCGCCTCTTCACGACTGACCGGATCTGGCATCCCGGCAGACCCCGTTACACGGAATGAGGCAAAATTTTGACCCATGACTCAAGTGGGCGTCTCCCACCTCATCCTCCTCCTAACGAGATTCCTGCAGGAATGTCCATCACGGTGGCATGGCCCCTATATGACAGCACTCATGCAAAGAGAGAGATTTGGTTGACCCTGTTGGACTAGTTGATTGTGACTGAATGTTCTGGGTGTCTTGAATGCTTATCACAATGCCACCAGTTCTCTGGGTTCCTGATTGATAACACTCATATGGGAGCCCCAAGTTTCTGATTCCGCGAATCCTACGAATATGGTTTGCAACTTTGCATGTGGTTTCAGGAGATGCAACACTATAACAGGCTGCTGGAAGTTATTCTGAGTTCCATAAAGGAAGTCGAAGAGGTAGGGCAATTACTCCGTTCAGAACCTTTGTTTTTCTTTTCCGGGAAGTAAAGAAAAAAATTTGGACAAAAAAAAAAACTCAGACCATTTCTCGATTTACGTGTGTCGTTCCATAGGGGCCATGCTAATCTTTATCTGATGTCTCGAATTAAAACAAAGCAAAACAAAGAAAAGAGCAAAGAAACACACCATTTGATAGCACTGTGCAAAGCAGGTGTCATATCCCACTGTGCTGTTCTGCTACTCGGTCTTTTGCTTCCGATGAATATTCTGTGTTTTTTGCACTATGGGACGCTGGGCCCATGAATAGACTGGACACTTCTCTTAAAGAACGAAAAAACACGATGCATGAAAGACCGTATTATTACCAACTGGTCTAGCTCAGTTGGTACACCCCTGGACTGTTGAAATACAGACCTGAGTTCGCCCTCCACTAGAAGCAAATGAGCAAAATACTACAATTCTGAATTAGCTAGGGCCGTCAACTCAATGATCATATCTCAAGGTCGTCCCCCCCTTTTTTTTTTTTTTTTTTTTTTTAAGACCCTATTATTGCAATCACTGAGAGGTGAAACTGTTGCCCGTTGATGGGAGTAACCGAAGGAAGGGAAATGGTAAGACTGTAAAAGAGGTTGTGGCACTTTTACCTTTTGAGTCTCGAGGCACTTTTGCCTTCTTTCTGGGTGCTCTCCACTCTCCCATTATTCTCCCGTTTGGTGCCGGTCTGTCCTCAAAATACTCTTTTTCTGATCTCCATCTTTGGGTGCTCCACTGCTACCCCTTCATTTGTTCCCAGCCACTTCCAGACTTACCGTAGATACTAGAAACTTAGATACCCTTTTCCAACATACCCTCCCCATTGGTGCTTGCCTACCTGACAACCTAATGTAAGTGATGGTGATAGTATCCACAGCTGTTCTACTTCACTCCATTCACCCAGCTAAGCACCCCGTGTTGTGTCGATCTTGGGGCCTGGCTTTATCACCTATGCTTATTTTCCAGGTCATGTTGGCAAGCTAACCTCCCGTACCCCTACCCCCATCCATACTTAAGGGAATATCAAGCCCGGCTCCCCTACTTTGTCCCTTGTCGCTCTGATTCCCCTGTGCCCCTCTGAAGCTGTCCCCCTACTCAATCCTCTTAGTCTCCTTGAGTCCCCCACGATCCCTCTCCTGCTCATGGACTCCCTTTCTGTTGATCCCTGCAACTCAGCATGGTATGGCCTGGGAGACCCGTCCTTGGCCGGCGAATGGGTGGGTAGGGGTGGTGGGAGTGGGGGGTAAGGGTGGGTAACAGGGGGTGATGGGTGTGATGGACGTGATGGGTGTGATGGACGTGATGGGAGTGATGAGGCGGTTGGACTTGAGGAGGGTGCTGCTGGTACGTGGAGGGGTGGGTGGGAGGCATATGTGAGGACGGGGATGGCCTAGCTGGGCTGATTATCTGGGCTTCCATTTGGTGTGACATTGAAGTTTTTCGGTTGATGGTCCACCAGGAAGTGGGTTGTGGCATGTGTTCCCACTGTCTCTCTGTTGCTGGCCAGGGCCGCCATTGAAGCTGAGCATTCTGGTCCAGGCTGCACAGCCTCTTGCGCTTGTCAGTCCAAGTTGTCAATCAACTCCTGTTTTGTAGTCACGTCAGGTTCTTTCCTTAGTATAGCCCACAGTTCCTTATGGGCTTCCTGTCTTGGCTGTGATAGTGTCTATTACGGCTGCTCGTGCCTGCATGACACCGTATGTATGTTGATTCCTTTGGAACAAGCATTGCATTCTCCAGGCCTGCATAAGGACTGCCCTCTTTCTACCCAGCTGCAGCCAGACATGTTTAGGAGGAGGGTGGTTGATCGCCTGTGGTCCCCTCTCTCCACATGTCCAAGGATTACGGCCCTCATGATCGTAATATTTTAATAACTGTAAGCAATGTACTGTTTTGAGGAACCCCCCGCCGTTCATGGTTGTCTTGTTTGTGTTCGTCCCAGTAAGGTATTAACCCCACGAATACATTGGAGCCATCTAATGGCGGCCTCCAACTGGGGGGGTGCTCCTGTCATCCTCTCAGTAGTTGGCCGGCAACAGATGTAAAAAAGAAAAGGAAAAAAAAAGGTATTAACCATACTTGCGGCGCACCAGCCCTGTGCGCGAACCCGAGGTGCGTGCGCACCGGCACGCGCCGCGCATCTGGGTGTGCAGTGCGCGCTGCACATGTCTGGTGTGCTGCACATGGGTGCACAGTGTATATTTCCATGTTCTAGCGGTAGATTCATTCAATTTTTCTCATCCTATCGATGGAAGTACCAGGAGGCCAGCCGTGAGGTTGGAGACTTACCTGCTCTCTCTCTCTCTCTCTCTCTCTCTCTCTCTCTCTCTC